CACACACACACACACACACACACACACACACACACACACACTACCGACCTTTCATGACCTCCGAGTGTAGGACTTTCTGGTACTGCGTATAGCGGTCCAGCACGGTACGGATGCTGTCTAAGGGGTCCAGCACCACACACTCCGGGTGACGCTCGATGTACGTCTGGAGATACAGAAACAACAGACAGACACAATCAGTTGAGACATTATCAAAGGCAGGAAACACACACGACATGTACATTCGAAATTGTCCAAGACGGCCACATATTGTCGAAGGGGAAAGTAGTTGTCTTAGGAATGCGGACGTTTTAGTTATAGTAAAAGTTTTAGTAGAGGTTTACGGCGTTCGCAAACTGCATACGATCATATGAGCGCCAGAAGATTAGAGGTGTTACAAGAGAGTAACAAACATAAAAAAAGGAGGGGAGATAAGGGCGGTAGATGTTTGACAGGAAAGAAGAAGCAAACCATACCAGAGCACCCGCCAACCACCCACTAGTTATAGTAACAGTTTTAGCAAAAGTGAAGCATTATAAGGTCATAAAAGTGCCGAAGATTAGAAGTGTTACAAGAGAGTAACAAACACGAAAAGAGGGGGGGGGGAGATGAAGATGATACAAGTTTAATAGGAAAGAAGGAGCAAACCACACAAGAGCACCCATCAACCGCCCATGAAGGTGGACGTCTTGAACAGTGTTATTAGAATATTATTTTTTTAAACAAATGGGGGGAAGTGGTCAATATTTTTGTACAGGCAACTGTCTTGGACAGGTGGCCGCTAGAGCAGGTTCGACTGTGCATATATGTATATATATAATTATATATATAATATTATGTCCTTGTGGGTTTTCAGTGGAGGGCAAAAGCTAACAGACAACACTGTACACTGAGGGGCAATTAGCAACAGGAAGCCACTGCTGTAATCGCTCAAGAAAAATCATGGAATGCACGTACTATAACGGCCTTAAACATCTTGCTCTCACTGGAAAAAATGGAAGGCAAAAGAGACAGGGGTAGAAGCAGAGCTTGTTTGTTTGTTTGTTTGTTTGTTTGTTTGTTTGTTTGTTTGTTTGTTTGTTTGTTTGAGTCAAGAGAAGCACATAGACACAATAATGTTCATTTAGAGTGGGGAAAAAAGTAAGACAGACAGACAGACAGAAACAATAGAGGGGAAAGTAAAGAAGTAGGTCCTACCAGTGGCGCCTTCCAACCACCCACTAAACGCAGAGCAACCGACTTGGAAAACTTTATCAGATGGGCGGCGAGGAAAGACCTGAACGTGAGAAAGTCTCGACTGTTTCTACAAATAATAAGTTATTTTCATAGAGCATACAAGCAGACAAAATGAAAATGAAAGACGAACCATAATCGCTGATGATTTTCAGAACTGGCCCTTTACAATGATGTCCAACTATTTGGAACCCGGTGACAATGTAAATGGGGGTAATTTTTTAAACCAAATGAACCGAACAGCAAAATTTAACTTTAAAAAAAAATCGACCCCTGGGGGAAAGTGTACAACAAAGGCATACATACCTAAATACACAATGCATACATAGGCCTACAGTAATTCATCTACGTTACATAATACACAATGCCATGCCAATACAGACAATTAACATAGCAGTGCCAAACGCCACTGTGCGCCACCCTATTTCGAGTAAACGCTGTCCTGTCTTGTTCAAGGACACATCCCAACGACTACCCTCCCGAATACCACATCACCAACGAAGGCGTGTCATTATTGAGAGCATTGATTCACTAACCACACGGCTGGGGGAGATCAGGTTCTGGTGTAATTGTAGACGTTTTAGGCCTCATTGACACGATTCAGACCATTTAAGAGACAGGCAGCTTCGATCCTGCCTCTCAGTGACAACTCGGGACGAGAGGGATACATACATCTCAGCAGAAAGACGGAGATGCTCGGTTTTTAAAAAAGCAACTTTCCCCACGCAAGTTTCGAACTCACGTCTGATGCATTCGACGCTGAAGCGACTTATCTCTGCACCACAGACGATGATAATTGGTTTTTGGGTTTATTTTAAGTTGGAAAGAAGAGCATTTAGACGACAAAGGTCAGTTAGTTCAGGGAGAAAGTAAGACAAACGAAAGTAACAGAGTGGCGTCGGTAGCCTAATCATAAGATTACGGGCTCGGGGATTCGAGCCTCAGCTCGGTTCGACGTTTTGTCATGGGGTAAGGCACTTTACATGAATTTCCTTTTCAGCTCGGTCCTTTCGGAGATGGACGTTAAACTCGGGAGGTCCCGCCGCATAAATAACCTTATAGTGTTGAAAGGGGCGTTAAACCTATACCAATTCATCATTTTACGAGTAACAGTCAGAGATGGTACAGTTCAGAAATGCAAGTAGGACACTGAGCGGCGTCCGCCAACTACTGGGTCGATGACTACAAGTACGCAGATGTATTATATGGGTTATTGGTGTTGTAACTGAGTGTGCCTGCGTGGAGGAGCGCGGGGACTCACTGCGTGTTTATAATATATGTGTACTGTGTATGTTTACGACGAGGGCGCGTTTGGGTATGAACGAGAGATGGGGGAGGGGACGGGGTGGGTAGGAACAAGTGTTTATGCGTGCGTCATTTTTTTTCTTGGTTCTATTTTATTTGTTTGTATGTTTTAGTTCGTTTTGACACAAAGATAACCCTCCCATCCATCTCCCTCTAAATCCCACACAGATTTTCAAAGGTCACTGGACAGAAACATGACGACCCTTGATACAGAAAAGGGGGCCCCTTCGAGTGTGAATCACTGAACAGACATTTCCTGTTTACCAAGCGACCCCCCCCCCCCTTTTTT